AATGTTTTATCAAAAATACCTTTACAAACCTCTTTTCCTTGGAAGCTTCCATTTTTGTTTACCTTCGCTTTTGATATTTCTCCTCTTATAAAAAATAATCGAAAAAACTGGTTTGGACACCGAAAAATTGTCGATTTATTCTGACATTATTTTGTAATTACTGATTAAAGGGGGAGACATTTTTACGGCTTCTTCTTCTTCTTTTTTGGCGCTGTAACCGTCTAAGCGATTTTGGCCGAGTTCAGCAAAGCACGCCAGTCGTTTCTCCTCTGTGCCAACTGACGCCAATTGGAAACGCCAAGTGAAGCCAAGTCCTTCTCCACCTGATCTTTCCATCGCAGTGGGGGCCTCCCTCTTCTTCTGTTACCACCAGCGGGTTCCGAGTTGAATACTTTCAGAGCTGGAGCGTCGGTGTCCATTCGAACGACATGACCAAGCCAGCGGAGCCGCTGTATTTTAATTCGCTGCACTATGTCCATATCGTTGTAAAGCTCATACAGCTCATCGTTCCATCGTCTGCGCTACTCGCCGTCGCCAACGCGTAAAGGACCGCAAATCTTCCGCAAAATCTTTCTCTCAAACACCCCAAGAGCCGCCTCATCGGATGTTGTCATTGTCCATGCTTCTGCGCCATATACCAGCACGGGCATGATGAGTGACTTAAAGAGGACTTTACTCCTGAATTGCCTACTCAGTCCAAAGTAGCACTTGTTGGCAAGAGTGATTCTACGTTGGATTTCAATGCTGACATTATTATCGGTGTTAATGCTGGTTCCCAAGTAAACGAAATTCTCTACTTTCTCGAAATTGTAACTGTCAACAGTGACGTGGGTGCCAAGGCGCGAATGTGCTGACTGTTTGTTTGATGACAGGAGATACTTCGTCTTGTCCTCGTTTACCACCAGACCCATGCGCTTTGCTTCCCTATCCAACTTGGAACATCAGATTAAAGAAGTCACATGAAAGGGAGTCGCCCTGTCTGAAACCCCGTTTTGTGGCGAACGGCTCGGAGAGGTCTTTTCCAATTCTGACGGAGCTGGTGGTATTGCTCAACGTCGTTTTACACAGCCGTATGAGTTTTGAGGGGATGCCAAATTCAGACATAGCGGCGTATATGCAACTCCTTTTAGTGCTGTCAAAAGCGGCTTTAAAGTCGACAAATAGGTGGTGAGTGTCGATCCTTTTCTCGCGGGTCTTTTCCAAGATTTGGCGTATTGTGAATACCTGGTCTATGGTGGATTTGCCAGGTCTAAAGCCACACTGATAAGGCCCAATCAGTTCATTGACGGTGGGCTTCAGTCTTTCACACAATACGCTCGATAAGACCTTGTAACCTATGCTTAGAAGGCTGATCCCGCGGTAGTTGGCGCGAATGGCGGGGTCACCTTTCTTGTGGATTGGGCAGAGCACACTTAAATTCCAGTCGTAGGGCATGCGTTCATCTGACCATATTCTGCACAAGAGTTGATGCATGCACCTTATCAACTCCTCGCCGCCGTACTTGAATAGCTCAGCTGGCAGGCTGTCAGCTCCAGCGGCTTTGTTGTTTTTCAGCCGCGTTATTGCTATACGTACCTCGTCATAGTCAGGCGGTGGAACGTCGACTCCGTCATCATCGACTGCGGGCTCGGGTTCTTCTTCTCCACAACTTTCTGTGCTGCTGCCATTTAGTAGGGCGGAAAAGTGTTCCCTCCATAATTTAAGTACGCTCTGGACATCAGTTACTAGGTCGCAATTATTGTTCTTACAGGAGTGCGCCCCGGTCTTTAAACCTTCCGTAAGTCGCCTAACTCTCTGGTAAAATTTTCGGGCATTCCTCCTGTCGGCCAGCATTTCAAGCTCTTCGCACTCACGTATTTCTGCCTCTCTCTTCTTGTTGCGGCAAATACGTCTCGCTTCCCTCTTCAGATCCCTATAGCGGTCCCACATAGCGCGCGTTGCGCCCGATCGCAGCGTGGCCCTGTAGGCGGCATCTTTTTTCTCTGCAGCTTCCTGACACTCCTCATCGTACCAGTTGTTCTTTCGGGCTCGCTGAAATCCGACTACTTCTTCGGCGGCGGTACTTAATGAGCGGGAAATGTGGTTTCACTGCTCGCATATGTCGGTTTGTTGAAGAATGCTCTCTGAGAGCAGGTGTGAGAGTCGAGTAGCGAATGCGCTGGCTGTCTGTTGTGATTGCAGCTTTTCGACGTTAAGCTTTCCTTGCATATTTGGGCGCATATTTTTTGCTGCACAGAGGCGGGTGCGTATCTTGGCTGCAACAAGATAGTGGTCCGAGTCGATGTTTGGGCCTCGGAGTGTGCGTACGTCTAAAACACTGGAAGCGTGCCTTCCGTCTATCACAACATGATCGATTTGGTTTCTCGTTTTTCGATCCGGAGACAGCCAGGTAGCTTGATGGATCTTTTTATGCTTGAACCTAGTACTGCATACTACCATGTTTCGGGCCCCGGCGAAGTCGATCAGCCTCAATCCGTTGTCGGACGTTTCGTCGTGGAGGCTGAATTTTCCGACGGTGGTTCCAAAGATCTCTTCTTTGCCCACCCTGGCATTGAACTCGCCAAGCACGATTTTGATATCATGACGGGGGCAGCGCTCGTACGTGTGCTCCAAGCGCTCATAGAAGAGATCCTTGGATGCCTCATCCTTCTCTTCCGTCGGGGCATGGGCGCAGATGAGCGAGATGTTGAAGAATCTCGCTTTGATGCGGATTGTGGCTAGACGCTCGTCCACCGGGGTGAACGACAGTTCTCGGCGACGGAGTCTCTCTCCCACCACAAATCCAACTCCGAATTTGCGCTCCTTTACATGGCAGCTGTAGTAGACGTCGCAAGGCCCCAGACATTCTTTGCCTTGCCCCGTCCAACGCATTTCTTGGATGGCGGTGATGTCAGCTTTTGTCCTTACGAGGACATCAACCAGCCGGGCAGAGGCACCTTCCCCATTAAGGGTCCGGACATTCCAGGTGCATGCCCTCAAATCGTAGTCCTTTAAACATTTGCCGTGGTCGTCATCATAAGGGGGGGTCCCATCCGAGGCTTTGCCTTGCTTCTTCACTGGAAGTGGTTTTTACGTGGCGGGTCCCAAGCCCAGCGCACAACCCATTGCTGGGACGGGGGTGGTTTCGCAACCAAATACACGTTTATATAGCGAGCCGCTTGCTCCAAGCAGACACCCGCTTGCAGCCGCACCTACTGGTGAACAGACGCTGCAAACTTCAGTGAGCCCTTAAACCGAATAAGTCAGAGTGGCCCCACCGAAGTTCCCTCTCTTTCTGCCGTGACCCAACGCTCCACTCGGATTGGTTACCGCATCTCGCACATGGGTTGCTCACGTTGCCCAGAGTGCGCGAACGAGGACGCAAGATTCGGGATTGAGTATAGCCATGCAACTGTAACTGCATACCCAGCGCAATGACTATACCCCATTGCACTCCATTTACCATTTTTATGGCTACTCTGTTTTTTAATCATAAGCTAAGGCTTTTAAGCTCAAAAGTTAGGATAATTTTTGTAGACGTACTTTTAGGCCTGAACGAATTCCTTAAATGAGTTTTTTCAGGGACTGTAACGGTTATGAACTTTATGAATAAAATCATGATTAAACAGTTAAAATTAGATTTTTATTTTTCCCTTGTGCAGTTATTTTATGATTTTTTATTTATTCGATAAGGAATAATCGTTATTTTCAATTTTTATTTTTTCGATAAATATTTTATCACTACATATAAGCATACAGCACTTGCCGATAAAGTATTTACATAAATAAAATATTAACTGAAGTCAAATTGAAATATCGTTTTTTTTTCTTAAAATTGGCTAATTTCTATTATTGGGTCAAAATTACCAAAAACATGATAGGAAGGGGTAAATTCCAAACACTGCAGAAGGGTTAAAGGAACGTGATGTGCTGAATTGTCGGTACCCAAAAGTTCAAAAAGATTTCGGTACCCAATACTTCCTTTTCGGTACCCAATACTGATTCTTTATATTAAACCTTCGCCGTTATAATATTTCAAATTCAGAAAAAAACGATTTCTATACTATTTTATTTATTGGCTACTTTTTAAATCGGTACCGTGTATCGATCAATACTTACAAGTATCGACTCAGCACATCACTAGCATGCAGACGGTTTAAAGCTGATTATTATGACCTTAAGCCCAGTAGGTTGTGATTGTCTTGAGGTTCTCTAAACACTCGTATCAAACGACCGCCGTGATTGTAAATCTGTCCGATAAGTCTATTGCCGTAATCATCATCAGATAACTGGTACTGTTTACTGTTCTAGAAACAAGCAGACCATTCGTCACGTGTAGGTGGAGTGAGACATCTTAGTTACATAACTGGTTTATGTTTCATATTCTTCTCTAACCCCACGAGCTCTAATACAGAAATTTGTTCGATAAGCATTCCACAAATACTTGCCACTTTCTTAAATATTTCACCATTTTAGTGAGCCATCCGCCAGTGACATAAAATTGAGTATCTAATTGAAACATTTATGGGGATTTTGACTGGTCATCAAAGTAATTTTAAATTCAATTATTTCATTAAAATTACTTAAAATCAAATCATGCACTCAACTAGATAGAAGTTAACGGCAGCCCACTCATCGCTAGCGTCGGCGTAGCCAATAGGTACATATATTTGTGCTAGGATTTTTTTTAAGTAAAAGCAGAAAATGAGATTTGCACCAAATTACTGAAAAACTAGTCCACTTCGGTATGGTACTGGACCACATGTCTAAAATTAACTAAATTTTTTTAATTGTCTGGGCTTATTTGAATTGGGCAACGTTGGATTTAAGAATCAGCTCCATTTGTGGCTAGTTAAAAAAAGTCTGTCCTTTCATTCCAATTCCCGCTAGTTAAAAACAGTTGGCAAGGGGCTAG